TATCCTCCCGCTGTCTCTACGTCTTCTGTTAAGTGCTGAGAAGATTGCAGTGGAGACGAATGGCTCAGATACAGTAGGTATGTGGTTTTAAACAGTGCGTCAGTTTATATTAGTTTTGTTCTGTGCAATCCAGGTCTTGTTGCTGTACGTTAAGAGGGAAAAAAACAAGTTAATTTCCAACCGAGTGGATATCAAATCAAAAATGTATTTAAAAAAAAAACTTTTAAAATGTTAAGCAAATGGATTTGGTTGGACTTGATTTACATTGTGAACTATGTTTAAAACCTTTTTAAGACAGAGGCGTATTTTCAGATTCACAGACTCCTGCTAAAGCACACTGTCATCACTGCCATTAGGCATAGATGTGGGTCCTACTATATGAGACAGTGTGGATAATACGTTGCTACTGTAGATATCAAGAATTACAAGATAATAAGAAATGTTCACTGCCTTCTGAGCATGATAGCTATTCCTTACCAAAACCTGAAGGGTTCATCTGAAAATAGAGTGCTGTTTTGAAATTAAAGTTTGCATGATAATCAGACAACAGCTGAGAAAAGACTTGACTGATGTATTCAAGTGGTTTAAAAGAAAGTTTTAACTTTGCTCCTGCATTTATTTTCAACTGCTCTCAGAATGAAATAGTCCAAATGGTACAGATGTACAGCTGTAACCATGTTACTCTTTTCTCACATGGAGCAAATTGGAATGGAATTGCATCTGAGTCAAGGATTATGTCGTCTGCCAAGAACCAGTTAGATACTGCATTCGGATCACTGTGATTAAAGGTTGTCATCTAGCTGTGATGGTGTGAAGGGTTTTACCTTGTTGGAGGCAGTTCATGTGCCTTGAAAAACTTCCAAATGAAACGAAAACTCGCTGAACAATGGAAAACAGATCATTGTGTTTAAAAGACAACAGCACTACCCATCAGAGTAGCACTGCATACAAAACATATACTTCCTGTCCCATTTAGTTTTTTTTTGGTTTTTAGCATTTCTGCATTTTATGGAGTATTGCTGAAACAGATGAGTTGGAATTCCACCCCCATGTGCGTCTAATCATCCATTCAGAACTCCTTAATGACTTGTCAGTTCTTTGCCCTTCCATTTTCTGTCCAATTAATTCTTTTCTTGCGCTCCGGATAAAAGGAGACAAAGGCCTTTCCACAAAATAATGAATCATTAAAATTCAGGAGCTCCTTGCCGGGGTACTTGGCTTCTCCCCCAGCAGTTGGGGCTACTTTGCATTCGTATGTGAGCAGCGTTTAAAATCCTGCCCTGCGGATATACGGCCAATGGGTTCCGAGTCACTTTAACTCTCTGAGGTCCAAGTAAACAGGCTGTTGTCAGCCTTGATTCTGGGCCCACTTAAAGACCACATTACATGAGGAAACCTGCTTTACCAAGCAGCGCAGTCCCATTCCAAGTGGACAAAAAGCCTTACCTCGTGGTGGTGCTGCCCCACCATCACATCGAGCTCTGTAGAATTTGCCAAAACGGCTCATGAGGGATTAACTCAGCACGTGCAAACTCCCTCCAGACTGGCCGGAGGTTCAATGTTTCTTGAAGTAGGTGATGGATCTACTCAGGGAAGCTCGACTCCTCCTTCCTCTGGAGATATGGTTTGGACGTGGTACTGGAATCTCCCCCAAGACACCTGCCGACGTGTCTTCTCTTCCCGCGGACAGGTTCGCTGGACGGCAAAGCACAGACCTTATGAGACCCCTTCGGCTCATCTGTAGTCTGAGTTACTGGTTTCCAAGAATGCATTGATGTTGTTTATTCTGTAAATCCCGTGAACCTAATAATTATAAAAAAGTTATCCCTCAAGCTCATCTTGCCAAAAGGAATACAGTGGACTGGACTCATATAATTAAGATATAATATATATATATAATGTATGCTTTTTGATAATGAAATGGTACTGTATAACAAAAAACGTCAATTTCACTTTATACCTCCACAGAATCTGCAAATTAAACATAATTTAATCCCGTATTATGTGAAGAATAAAATCACTGAAGAGGATATTACAAATAGGAAAACGGGTTCAGTGAAGACTGAGATGCAAATATCTAAAAATTGATTGATTCGATGTCTTGCTCTGTGTCAAAGGATTAAGCACTCCCCTGATCGCACCCTTACAGCTACTGCCCTGAAGGAGCCAGATTACCTGCAGTTTCAAAACAATACCCAATTGCATTTTGAAAATAGGCTCAAAGTCAGAAGAAAACGTGAACTCTTCTCAACTGAGGAGAGAGCATTTGATTCAAAAACAAAATATACAGCACTCCAAAGTGACACAACCAGTAAAGCTGGGACTTAGACCAAAGACCAAAGATTACTGGTTCAACTTTGTATTATACCGTTGGCTAATTGGTGCTGAGACTGCACACACTGCAGCACACCAGTGAAGCAGGGCTTCTGATGCTGAATCTCAGATCTGCCTCACATTCATACTCGGAATGAGTAGTCTGTGAGTTGGAAGTGGGATCAGTAATCATCACATCCTTCCCCTCACAAAACACAGAGACCTGGTGTTGGCGCTGCAGACTGGCAGTTGATAAAAGAGATGATTGGCCTGAGAGCAGACGTCTCAGGGAGACATACGGTATACACCAGGTTGCTTTCCTCTCAAGATGACCAAACTGGGGGGAATAATGCACAAAAGCACATTAATCCAAAAGTTAAAACAAGATTTTTGCTTCATCAGTGGTTGTCGATGGGAGTTGTGCCACCCCTTCTCAGGCTTGTCCTCCAACCCCTGAAACACTGCCATGTGCAGTCTGGCAGACCAATCTTACGCTCAAAGACTGATTATTTGATCCAGAAGATCTGCTGGGCCTTTCAGGCTCCAAAGGGTTATATCTTTGCAACAGAAGCAGACCGAATGATCTCTGTGATATTTGCATATGCATCATACCGATGTAACTGTTAAACTAATAAATGACGCACAACACAGGGACATCAGCTTAATCTTGCAGTTGTCATATTCAAGCCTCTCAAATAATTGAGTTTCTACTTCCAAGAACCAGATTATCTTCCTAAAATTCCAGACAGCTGTCCTTTGTAGGCTCACACAAGGCAAAAAAAAAAAGAAAAATGATGCAGCTGTTATTTTGGTAACCATTGCAGAAATAACACATGTTGAACATTGTGGAGAAATCATCATTTACTTTCAGTCGAGCGCACTACAAAAAAAAAGGTTGAACTCACATTTTTCTTGACAGCTTTTTGATACTTTAATTAAAAAAAGGTTTTATATGAAATATTTTGGATCTGGATGAAGGATAGAAAGTTAAAAACAATGTTTTCCTGACAGAGAAATAAAGGACTGTTAAGTGAGCCATCTACAGTATATATTGTATGTACATTAACTTAATTGCATAAACAATACATCTGTGTTAATCTGGAGATTAATCACCACAGGTAGTATTTAAGAAATAATATTTTACCATCCTTGAAACATAATGCTTTTCAATTACTCATCTCCATTTCTTCATCGTTTAAATTTAATAGGTACTCTGACCACATTTGATGTGGTGCAGATACTTCCTGCTATGAGTGCTATTACTGCTGTCAATGTTTCAGCATTGGCTGCTTCAAATCATTTTTGGTAAATTCAGATATAGACACACGAAGCAGGATGCAATCAAAGTTCATATTTGATCTTGTTGTCACCTGTTTAAGTGTCACACTGTGCTCTCGGAAGTCTCCTGCCTCTGAATTAACCCTGTGACATCTGCCTTCTGTTGAGGGGAAGTGATTGCACTACACAAGGATGTTAATGTCTTTAGCAGCTCATACTCTTAGCAGAGGGAGGGGGACTGCCTACATCCTTAAATGTCTTAACATTAAATAAGCTTATCCAAACTCTGGCTGGCCTCTGTTGCTTTTAAAATGGTGCGGTTCCTAATTATTTCTGAGGAATGCTGAAAGTCAGAAAAGGGTTTCATATTTGTAAAAACTATGACCACTAGTTAAAGAAAACTGAGAATCAAAATTCAAACGGAGTGGAATGTAATTAAGTCTTCTGCAGCTTTCTTCTCTCAACTGCATTAAAACTGTCATTTGCAACTGGAAAGAATAAATCCATTCAACGGTTATTACTCACACCTGAAGAAGGCTCCACGGCCGAAACGTTGTTTTTCTTTCTTCTCTTTTCAGGATGGAATAAACCTATTACTTGTTCCTTTACTATGAGTAATACTGCCACTGCTGTTACTGTTTTGCAAAGACAAACAAGAGGACACTTTACATTTAAAAAAAAAACTTTTTTTAATTTTTTCATAAAAAGGGCCTGCACAAAAGGTTAGCAGTGCTTGTGAGAATCTTCTAGTAAAACGAGAAAAAATAATTTACAGAGTATTTTTTTTTCCAATGGAAAATAGAGAAAATAGACTTGAATAAAACATGCAGTGGAAACACTTTTCTGAAAAAGACATTCAAAAATATATATATTTTTTTTTTAACGGAGAGACAGGAAAAAAAAAGAATTTTGAAGGCACAAGTTAGTATTGAATGTGTAAAAAAGTTATCATATGCCCGGCATACAATAAGAACAGTGGAAAAACAACACACAAATTAGTAACAAAAAAGGCTGTTTTTCATCATTTTTTGCTTTCAGCCCTTTACAATTACTAGTTTTCCGCTTACGAACATAATCTCAGGAGTCTTCGTACCTAGGGCGGAGCTGCAGAGTTAACACTACGAACATACAATCCTCAGGAGCTGATATTGTTGAACCATAAAAGTGGGTTTCTTCTTTCAAAAACACTGGCAACCTTAGGGAAAGTATTCACGGTGCTTAAAATGTGTAACAGCTCAGCAGTGCATGTCTTCCGATTTGATTTAGCATTCAGACAGCAGTTGCTCTGCCAGTCAAAACAGGTGTTGTATTATTTTAGCCGTTTCCTTTAACCCTTTCACTGCCATATGTAAATCAATAACTGCCATTCAAAAACCATATAAAATAACTGTCACTTATTTTTTTTCCTCTTTCTTTGTGTTTTATAATCCCGAAAGGAGGGGTGCGCGGCGCATCTTAATTAAGCGAGAAGTGGTTAGAGGTTACAGACAATTCTCCACTACGGAATATTAGAATTTAATTTTCCACACACAAATCACAATACAATAATTCCACTGGTTGCAAACATAAATACGTCGCACGAATAAAATAAACACGGAAAAGTAAAACACCCTCTACATCCAGAGAGTTAAACCTTGCGTTGCGGAACTGACTCGTTATAATCGGTCCAACCTTCAGATGTGTTTTCCGGCTTTGCTGCGTTGAGGATTGTTTCGGAGGAAGTTCACAGACTTGGTCCCAGTGCGCTTCGGAAAAACTGCCCGTTTTAACGCCAATCGCCTTACCCCCCTAGTCAGTATTTCAGAATACGAAAAGGCAGACACGTATATTATTCCATACACTCACAAACGCGCACGTGTACCTACACGTACGTGGGCTTAAGATGGTCCTCACAGAGGATTCATACATTAATCCATTTAACACACACAGTTCCATAACCGCGGCTTCCTCGCACAAAAGGAACCGTTTCAGTTTGCGTTACATTACAAGCTTGGCCTAGGCAACAGTTCCGTTTTTCCCTCCGCCATGTTTTGAGATCAGCAGGCACTTCTTTATTTTCAAACCTGGTTGGCACGGTGCTCCACCCTACTGTACTCTATTCCTTCATTAGTGCAGAAAGCCCTGGGCAGCTTTCGGAGGTCCTCGAGACTTCGTGAGGAAGGGGAGAGCTGTCCGGCGGTGGTCCCCCGCGCGCGGCTTTAGGGCCTGGTGAGGGTGGTGTACACGGGCTGGTCCCAGTTGGCCGTCGGGCTGTGTGACGGCGGAATGGACAGGCTGTTGAGGAGGGGGGTGGCGTAGGGGCGCCGAGAGGAATGAAAGTAAGGGTACTGATAAAGACTGGAGGGGTACCCAGAATAGGGGTTATAGTAATTCGAGCTCTGGAGGTCTGTATAGTCACACTGGGAGCTGGAGAAGGAAGTGGCGACGGTCGGCGAGGCGGCAGACGTCTGGGCCCCGTAGGAGCTGTATTCGGCCGGGGCCGGCGAGCCGTGCGAGTGCTCGCTGTAGTGGCTCGGGCTCAGCTGCTCCGTCTTGA